CTCACCATAACCTTGTGAGGGAGGTTTTAATGTTCTCCCTGTCTTAGAGATGCAGAAACCACATACTGAATAGTGGAGTTGGGTCACTCCCAGCGTGTGCCCTGTACCTGGAAGGAAAGTGACATCACATGCACACACAGTTAACTTAAAAGAAATCAACTTTACCAACTCAGGAGAGAGAGAGCGTGGGGGAGGGAGGAAGGAGAAAGATAACAGTAAATACTGTGGGTGATCTGCCTGACGTTCTACTCCTGTGTCTATGTGCTCCCAAGGGAACGAGGGGAGGCAAGAGTCTGCTGCTATCCTGGTTTTCCAGGCCTCTCATACTGGGAGCACCTGGCTGGCTGAATATGATTACAGGGCTTAATTATTCACAGTGTTCTTGCCCCCCCCCCCCCCCCGCAAATGCATGCCAGTTCCTCACTGAGATATGGTATGTCCATCTCTCTGGGGGCTTGCCAGTTCCTCACTGAGATATGGTACGTCCATCTCTCTGGGGGCTTTTCAGGACTGAGTTTGACGAGGAGGGACTGACTCCTCTTTATAAGCAGACTCTCTCCTTCCTAATCCATGAGTGAGGTGAGACTCCATCATCCTGCTTCCCTCCCCCCATTCCCCATGGTCCCCCCTTTTCCTGCTTTCTTCCCCGCCTGGTAGACCCCTGCTCATCTCTTCTGACCCAGGTCAGACATCACCTCCTCTGGAAAGCTTTCCCTAACTCCCCCAGGAGGAATTTTTCTTTCCACCCATGCTCCTAGAGCACCCTGCATGCATTTATTTTGGTGCTCTCTTAGGTTGCGTTCTGAGGGTTTGTTTATAAACCACATCCCCCAGCTGAGGGTCCTCAGGGGCAAGTCCTCAATAGAGCCCTTTTCTCTCCTTTTCCCCCACATCTGTTGCAATAACCTCCTCCACGGCAGAGACTCAGGAACTGTCTTCTTTGTTTGGTTGTCAGGAAGGCAGGTCTCTGTGTCTTCCAGAAAAAGGAATGAGATCAATTCAGAATGGTTATTATAAAGAATTGGTCATGTTTCTTACAGAATCTGGAGCCCCCCCCAACTAACTTATTCTGTCTCTATTCACTTTCTGTCCTTCGGTTTCTTTGTTTTTTCCCACAAGGTCACTGTTTGGCTATAGGACTTTAAGAAGCCACTTTCCACAGGGCAATGTGGTCTGTTGAGTTTTCCTCAATTGAGCTGTGTAAATATGTTTGTGTTCTCTATTTTCATCCCCAGATTAAGACATCTCCGTCAGCCAGCCAAATCCCCCCCAAACCCTGAAACTGGCACCATCTCTGAAGAGTTTCCAAGTTGCCTTTCTGTTTTGTTTTTTTTATCTTATGAAGGATGTGGTTTTTGGTTATGTGATTCTTTTTAAGCCGCTTCATTTGTTTTGGGACTGATTAATAGCTCCCCAAACTTGGACAGAAACGTCAAATTCAGAATCTCTGGAAGCACAGCAAGAAGAAGTTAATTAGCTCATGTTTTCCATATGAATGAGACTCAAATACACAATCACTGCTTCCTTGTTCTATCTCTCACCCTTGACTGTGCTGGCAAACCTTGCTCTTCCTTTTCGACCTAAGGGGATTTGTTGGGAACAAAAAGCGTATCCCTGTACTCCACCTGCTGGATGGAATGAATAAAAGCCTGGGGGAAAGGTCTAAATATTTAGCAAATGTAACCTCAGCCCCCAAAGTTTCAAGTCTGGAATACATTTCACAGCCCCAGGCCAGAAACAGGCATGTTGATGCTGCTTATTTGTGTCCTTTGGCAGAGGGTCTAGAGGAGTGTTACAATTCAGTTGTGTGGGGGAGAGGAGGGAGAGAGTGATTATGTATATATAGCTTCAACTTGGTTATCTACCGATGTTGGAGAACGGAATCTACCTAACTTCCCTTTTCCTTCACTGGCCTCTACTTTGCCAGCGAGCCTCAGTTCATGACATGCTCCCTACCCCTTGGTCACCACACTTGAGCCTCATTGGCACTGTGTTCCCTCCTGCCACAGGGCCTTAGCATATGCTGATGCCACTATCTGGAATGTTCTTCACAACACACACTCCACCTCTTTACCTTGTCAGCTCTTACTCTTCTTTCAGATATTAGCTCACTTCCTCTGGGAAGCTCTTAAGTAAATTAAATACCCCTGTTATATATTCTGAGGACACTGGATATTTCTCATTGTAAGCACTTGTCACACTTGCAGTTTTACATTTCTCTGTGTGATCCTTTGTATAAATTGCTTCCTAAAGTATGGTATGCATATGGCACAAATGATATGCAGGTGTTCATTTTTTTAAATTTTAAAGTTATATGTTTATTTTAATGTGTGTTAGAAAACATATGTATATGCTCAGCTTATCCTTTTGTGAACATTTTAGCCTACATTGGGCCGAAAGTAGATAAAACTGTGAATCCACCATCTATAAGCCAGAGGAAGTAGAAGTACCATGATCAGGCAATGGGCATAGAGGCAGAAATTTTGGAAGCATTAGGCAAATTTTGGAAGCATTATGCAAATGAAATTTGGAAAATAGGTTGATATGTTTCTCCTCACTAGAATGTAAGCTCCAGAAAAGAGCTCTTTTGTTCACCGTTGTCTCTAACAGCCTGGGTGCCTATCTGGGCCTTGATAAATAGTTGTTGAAAGACTTGACAAGTGATTGAATGAACAATGTAATGACTCCACAGGTGCCCCTCCTAAGTGACTTCAAGCTAGCCATAGATCAGACAGTACGAAAGAAGGTTGATATTTCTCTTGAGGATTATCCATATGGATTGCACACAGTGGACACTGTGTAGACTTAGAACATTCAGCTTCAAATGCCCAATGGCTTTGTCGAGTCACAGGACTGTAGGGGACCTTTGCGGTTATCCTGCTCAGAGCCGTGTCTCTAGCATCCTGGGCAGGTATTGTCACAGGCTGGGCTCCCCCCGAGAAGCAGACTGTGAGGTGAAGATTCTCCTGCCAGGAGTTGTTTAGGGATTTGGGGATCCACCCCTGTGGGAGGGAAGAAGCAGGATCGGGTAGAAGGAGAAGTGAGGCAGTCTCAGTAGGGGCCTTATCCGACGTTATGAGAAGTTCTGAAGCTGAAATGATCCTTGAGAGCTGTCTGGTGCTGAAGCAAAGGAGCTGGGCAGGTGTGCCCCTATGCAGACTGCCTTGGAGAGGCGTGCGTGCCCTTGGGCAGGGCAGCTGTCTTCACCTGGACCATCCCTGCGGGGTGCTGATGGCTTCATCTCTGGAGGGAGGTATGGGTGATGTGTCAGACTACCACAGGTGTCCATCCTGTCTCTGTGTGAACGTCTCCAGGAGTAGCAGGTACCAGCCACTAACCGTGCGTGTGCTTCAACCATGGTTGGAATGGCTGTGGTTGTTACAAGTTTTTTTTTCCTTTATGCTGAACCAAAACCCCTTCCTTAAGTTCCACATACTCATTTTGACCAGCAGAGCAAGAAAACCAAAATCACCCTTGAACTATCTGAAGAGAGCAAAGACATCTTGTTTTAAATCTCTTAACCAAACACACATGGTTTCTTCGGCTCTGTTTTTGCACATTTTTTCTGGCCCCTTACTATTCCTGTGTTATCTTCCACATAACTTTTTTTTTTTTTAATTTATAAAACTTCATTTAAGATGTGCCATATAAAAGTAAGCTTGGAGTCAATCTAGACTTTTATCTTTTTTAAAAAGATTTTATTTATTTGAGAGAGACAGAGACAGAGAGAGAACAGGGGGAGGAGCAGAGGGAGAAGAACAAGCAGACTCCACGCTGCATGCAGAGCCTGTCATGGGGCTCTATCTCACCACCCTGAGATCATGGCCTGACCTGAAATCAAGAGTCGGATGCTTAACCAACTGAGCCACCCAGATGCCCCTGTTTTTTTTTTTTTAATTTTTTATTATTTTAAAAAAATATTTATTTATTTGAGAGGGAGAGAGAGAGTGAGAGCATGAGCCGGGAGAAGGGCAGAGGGAGAGGGAGGAGCAGACTCCCTGCTGAGCGGGGAGCCCAGTGTGGGGCTCGATCCCAGGACCCCAAGATCATGACCTGAGCTGAAGTTAGACACTTAACTGACTGAGCCACCCAGGTGCCCCCATTTATAACTCTTTTAAATGAATTGCTTAAAAGCAAGATCTTTCTAAATGTGAGTTCATGAAAACAATCCCTGGGAACCTGAATGGAGAATCTAAAAGATCATTTTTAGCCTTATTTTATTATAATATGTATAATTATATTTATTATAAAACAATTGCAAACAATCCTTTTGTCTGCCAGATATTGTGTTAAAAGTACTTGTGTGCCTCCATCTCAGTTGATCCTCTCACCAAGCCTGTGAGGTTGATACTATTTGGATCCTCACTTTATGAAGGAGGACCTGGAGGACAGCTAGATTATGTCACTTGCCCAAAGTTACCAAGTCAGTAAACAGAGGAGCCAGGATTCCAACTCTGCTGGTCTGGCTCCAGAGCTAGCTTCTCTGTGTGTATATTGCACTGATTAGGGTTGCTTTAAAATAACAAATGACCTTATTATTTCCCTGAAAAAATAAAATAGCAAATGACTTAATATCTAAAGGAAGTACCTTGAAACTATGTGATGGTCTTCGGAGAGGCTCAGAGGGCTCAGAGAGCAGTGATTTTTTTAAAGGGAATAAACCAAAAAAAAAAAAAAAATTGATGCCTTCATCTAGGGACTGTCTCCATCCACTCCTACAATAAGCTTTTTAAGGGCAAGGACCACATTTATTCATCTCTAATGCTATGTCTGGCCGAGTATCTAAATCATGTGGTTATTCAGGTTGTCGGTTTATTGCCTATCTGCTCCAAATCCATTCCTCTTTGCCTCCTTCTGTCGTGCTGCAGCTGGACCCTGGCAACATTTCTCCTTTGCCAGCTGATGCAGCTTAGGCTTTGTCAGCAGAGGGCACCGGAGGGACACTTCGAGGGGAAGGGGCTTGTCTTTGGGGTGGCCATCGGGCAGCTTCCTGCGCAAACCTGCAGCGAGTCGCGCTGGCTCGGCCTCAGGCTGCTTCCAGGGAGGCTCGCCAGCGCCCCGTGGGAAGCTCCCTGAAGCGCCATGATGAGATCCGCCACCATCCTTGGGCGCAGCCACCCCTTTGCCCACGGAGTCTGAATCTCATCCCTGAGAGAAGACCCTCTCTCTTGAGTACTTTCCTTAGCCTTCGGTTAGAGGCTGCTCCCTCCACCTGTTTAGAGATCTCTTTACCCCTCAGTAGTTAATCCCTTTTTATTAGTTAAGAATTCTTCCCATTAAAATTTCCCTGTTCAGAGTATTGGTGTGGTCTCAGTTTCTTGACTGGACTCTTATGAACACAATGCTAGATACTCAATAAATGACCAGTGAATGAATGAATGAGGGAGAGAATTGAGGAAAAATGCATCATTTTCAAAACGTATTCCTGCTGTTTATTCTTGAAGACTCGATGGTGTGGGGTAGCCCTCTGCCCTGCCAAACTCTTCCCAAATGTTCAGGTTGCTTGAGAGTTACACACTTTCAAGCAGTCTATCAAAACCCACGACTCTTCTTCTCTTCAGGTAAATATTCTATGACAGATTCCAGTGGCACCACGGATAGGGAAACAAGTTCCTCTCTCATACGTCCCCTCTGCACACCCGCCTGGATTTTCAATTTGATCACTCAGGGCTCCTAATGCAGGTGCTTTTTTTTTTTTTTTTTAAGATTTTATTTATTTGAGAGAGAGAGGGAGAGTGAGCACCAGAGGTAGGAAAGGCAGAGGGAGAGGGAGAAGCAGACTCCCCGCTGAGCAGGGAGCCTGATGCGGGGCTTGATTCCAGGACTCTGGGATCATGACCTGAGCCGAAGGCAGACACTTAACTGACTGAGCCACCCAGGCGCCCTGCAGGTGTTATACTTTGAGAAAGCCAGGAATCTTCCTATTCGCTTCTACAGGAAACTACTGAACTCTCCACACAGTTGACGTCGAGACTACGAACAGTCCTGTTTTTGCAGTCCAAACAAAACCAGTTAGTGTACAGAGACATCCGTGTAACTTACTTTGGAGGAAAAACTTCTGGGCCAAAGCATATCAGTAAAATAGGCTAACCTTTTGCTCTTATGCATCTCTGGGTAAGACTAAAAAAAGAATTTCTCTTAAAGCAGGAAAATATGAATTAACAAAAGTCACAGTGATGTGCATCTCTGTGACGACTTTGCACAAACTGCCTGCCTACACCTACCTCCCCAGACACTGCAACCAAGTGAACCAAATCCTGAAATTGAACACACTTCCAAACAAGGAGTGCCCAACCCTTCATTAAGGCTGATAGAAGAGCACATCGAGGACATGGTGAGGTTTTGCTTGTTTACGTAATAAAATAGACACCAGTGTTTAGCTGCTAAATGTGTAAACACAGCCTGTGTGACAGTGGGTAGCTCAGAGGGAAGGTAGCAATTTAGGAAATACCTCCTTCCCACATCACACACATTCTTAGCCCCATCAGAAGACCCCAAAACTAGGTCCTACAATACATGGGTTTTATAAAGCAAACCCACCCTCCAGCTTCAGGCTGTGTGTGACCTGGTTTCTCTTTTTAATTTTCTAACCGGGGTGGAAACCTAACAGTGTAGTATGTCATGGTCAATATGTCAGCCGCAGAGTGGGTACAGTGTTACAGAAAGATTCCAGTAGTCATTTAGTACATTTCCCCAAAACTTGAGAGAATGTCAGATGGATCACTGGGGTCCCGAGCGCCCTGTGTTGGATCCCCACATCTCAGACTTTGAGTTCTCTGGGTTTTAGAGTAAGTTTTATGTACAGTAGCAAGGGAGTTTCTTTCTGGGACTGGAGGACAGGTTTAAGGAGTGGAGTAGGAAGGTGAGGTTGTGCCGCTTTTCATGAGCCGTTATTGCAGTTTTAACGGTTGTCAAACAAATGCCTAGTGATTTTGAAATGGAGAAGTTACAAGTCCCAAGGCTAGATCAGGCTTAAGTATTCCTATATTGTACTACTGCTCCTACAAATAATTTTTGTTAATTTGTACAAGTGCCGTTGAAGGCACGTCTTTGTTTGACATATCACTGTTACCATACTCCTCAACGTAATGGCGATCCAAGGGTGCTTAGGGTTAGGATTCCCCTCCCCTCCCCATCCCATGGCAGCTAGGACACCACTCAGATAAATATGGAAGGCAGTGACTTCAGTTATACTTTTCCCTTTTGCTGTCAAGTTCACCCATAAGAGGCCAATTCTCAGCCAGCCTAACCCTCTCAAGACATTTAGGGCATAGAGTTACTTTTTTTAGTTGGTTCAGCAAAAATGAAAATTTTTGAATCCCAGTATAAGATGCATTCCAGTAGCAATGGTGTTTATCTTGTCACTGAGTTATGGATGGTAAAGTCTTTTGTTAGGTAGGTAAGAGGGTAATTGGCAGAAAGTGATGGGGGCTGGGGAGGATGTTCAGAGACCCTTGGCGCCTTGCCTTTTCCTGGCTCAATCTACTTTTCAAGTCTTGTTTAGAAATGGTTATGAATTAAGAATTTGAGGTTGGGGCGGGGGGTGGCGCTGGAGAGCAAGAGGGAGGAATGAAGTGAAGACTGTGGAAGTTAGGGAGGGGAATGCCCTCAAGCCCCACAGTGATGAGAATTCCAAAGGAGGGGAGGGGGCCAAAGTCCTCAGGGCTCTGCCAGCAGAAATCTGCTAAAAGCATTGGAGGCTTTGCAGGCAGTGGTGGTTACCTGTGGGATCTGCATCGTTACATTCATTTTGCATGATTAGTAATCCTAATTGGGTCTTGTCATCTTTGGGAAGAAGACCAGGTGCTTTGAGCCAGTGTTTTCCAAAAAACTGTGGTTGTAACCCATTAATGTTGTGATCCAATTTAATGGATCTTTGACCAGCATTTTTTAGTGGAATGTAACAGAAAAAAATGCATCGCCTGTATATAGCTTCCTGCTGTTTTTGTATACACAAGGATATGTATGCGCTGGGTTGTTATGGAAAATGTAGTTCTTACTGTGGATCAAGCTCAAAGAATAGGAAAGTACTGGGTTTAGGTGACTTTAAAAGGAAAAGGAGGGATTGATTGTGGTGTGTAAGTGGTAGAGTGGACAAACACGGCCCAACCAGTATTAATGGGTACACGTGCTTGTGTGAGTGTATGTGTGTGAGAGCCTATGTGTGTGTGTGTATGTGTGAGTGTTTGTGTGTGTGATCTGATTCTGCCACGAGGTCTAGGCAGTGGTATGCTTTTTCCTAAGAAAAAAAAGTCCTAAGATTGGGGGGCACCTCGGTGGCTCAGTCAGTTAAGAGTCTGACTTCAGCTCAGGTCATGATCTAGGGGTCCTGGGATGGAGCCCCCTTGTAGGGCTCCTTGCTCAGTGGTGAGTCTGCTTGCTTCTCTCCCTCTCGCTCTGCCCTTTCCCCTGTTCATGCTCTGTCTCTCAAAAAAAATAAATAAAATAAAATAAAGTACTAAGATTGAGAAGTTTATTTAAGGAGATGTTGCTCACTATGATAATAATTTCAGAAGATCTGATGGGCAAACCTATTACTCTTCATTAAGGCACTTGAGATGCAAGAGATGCACCTTTTGCCATTGACCTAAAGTTGTAAGTCCTTAAATTTTTTTTTCAGGTCACAGTATATATGTTTGCCTAAGCACAAGCTGGTCAACTGTATGCTAGTAGCATAAATTTTCATAATTTATACCATGAAGAAAAAAGTATCAGTTGAGTTCGTTATGGTACTTGACTCTTCAGGGAGCAAATCCCTTTGAATATACTTCCCTTATGGATCCCTAGAAAAACAGTAATATTGCCTTAGGTTTCCAAACAAAATGAAAAAATGTTTCTACCTTAACTTTTCCTGTCAGCCTTTAAGGTATCCTATCCGGTGACAAGCTATATTTAGAAAACAAAGCAGCCACAACTGCTAGGTGCCGGGGGAAGACCTTCCACAGGAAGATGAGACCTGTGATGTTCTAAAACTCAGAGACACATTGTCACCTTTTAGTGGAACATTTATTAATACTTGTAAGGTGCCAAAAAAAAAAAAGAGAGAGAGAAAGTGATGTAAAATGACAGATGTCTTCTTCATCAGAGGTCTGCTTCACAGCCCGTGGGCTTGGTTGGTTTAGGCTGTATGTTCCCCGAGGCTGAGGAGTTGGGCTCCGTCGCCTCTGATACAAAGCAAGGACCTTATCTTCAGGAACACTTGATGCTCTAGTCAGTTCTCGATAAGTACACACTGTTGGCTAGAGGAGGCTCTAACTATCATCCCTTCCAAGGAAACAGATCACTAACAACCTCCACCTCCGCATTGAAAACAATCAAAAGCATAAACACTCGTGATGCTTTGTACAGAATGTCAGGCAATTCTTAACAGTTGGCCTGAAAATGAATCCAAACGAGAGGCATGTGACAAGCAGATGGCTACATGACTTACTCAAGGAAGGGAGAGAGCGCAACAGGAACGCGCCATGTTTAAGGAACTAGAGCATGTTCCCGATGGCGGGGGATCTGCCAGCTACTCCTCTCTTATAAGATCTGACAGGCTCTTTTCCCAATTTGAAAGCAGTCCCCCTGAAGCGGACATGGTTCTATGGTTGAAAATACTAGGTTTACCTTGCCATGTCCTCTGACACCTTGATAGGTTTATCTTACACTGGGTGTTGCTAATTCTTCCAGAACCTGGGTTTCTGGGACTTGCTGTTTATTCAGCAGGAACCTACACAGTCTCCGTTTTTACTTGACTGAAATAAATGAATCCACAGCATCTTTCATTATAAATATAATGCCCTGGGAGAGAATACAGCAGTGAACCAGACAGACAAGGTTTCCAGGGGCCCTGGTACCCAGGACAGTGCCTGGCACACAGTAGGCACTAAATAAATATTCACTGAATGAATGCATGAATAATCAGGCGGAGGTTGTGGAGGTCACAGTAGTGTTTCTTCTAACTGCTTTGGATCTCTGAAACCACAGACTTCCGTCTCATCTGTTAGCAACATTTAATTTTTCTTGGCTGGTGTTATATTTGAATTTGATTCATACACTAAAAATTGTGGACCATTATAAATACTTTAGATTTCCTCTCTGGGTACCCTTTTCTGCCAGATCTTCAGATTAAGGAGATGTTAAACCACACGGCACGATCCCCAACTTGCCTGTAAGCATTTACTAAAATAAAATAGAATTGTCTTATCCAAGTTACAAAAACAAAAAGTTCTGAAATCGTTTTTCTGTACAAATGCAGAATGATATTATGAACCATAGTGTGAACTTAGTTCAGTTCCTCAGTGGCACCGTTGCTTTGAACTTTCACAAATTGTCTTTTTTCCCCCATCATAAACATGACAATTCATTTAGTAAGGAATTATTTTTCAATTAGTCATGTCAGTTCCTTATACCATGAGCTAATATTCTCAACAGTTTTTATCCACAGTTATCAGACCTTTGCTTCAGAGTCCCTACTTTCAAAGGAAAATTTGTAATAGCACAATGGAAAACGAAGTACAATCTCTTTTTATAGGTAAATATAGTATAAGTAGTAGATAATTGAGAGCTTATACATCATAGCCTATTATTATTCTCAGCGGCTGAATGCTAATCAGTTAACTACCTTTGAGCTCTATATTTTTAAATGTGATTAAAACATACAGTCTCACAGTAAATGTAAATGGCTTATTAAGGGCCTTTACGTGGCAACGGTATCATATGTCAGAGATGAATGGTGTTTCTAATTTGCTAGCCACTTGGGTCAAGTTTACTTTAAGCAGGAAGCATATTTATACAAGTAATCGTAACACAAATGGTCTCTTGAGAAAAGCTGTTGGTGAGGGTTTAACATTTTTGAAGTATGCTTTTGTATATCTCCTAAAGGGGTATTTTATCGTCACTGGGCCAAAGCGCCTTAAGTCCTTGTTCCTTCACACCAGCGTCACTGCTGCTGATGGTGCCTGAATGCTCAGGAAGACTCGTGGTGTGTACGTTTCTAGGGGTGAGGCAAGAGAGGATCAGGGGGCTTGAGCCACCTTCCTTTGTACTGCATTCTTCAGGACTTTGCTGCTTAAATTGGGGTGGGGGGAGGGCAGCAGCACCTGCAGCACCCGGGGCCTGTTAGAAATACACAGACCGCACCCCAGACCCACTGCACCGGAATCTACACTCGAACCCAATCCGCTTGTGATTTGTAAGCACTGCCTGGGACCCCAGATCCTCTGTTTTCTGGGGACCAGGCACAAGTCATGGCATCCCTTTCTCTTTCCTCCTCGCTTCTGAAATCTACCTCTTTCAAGGAAAGCCGTCCCCTCAGCCCACATTTCCTTTCTTTCTCAGCACTCCCACACCCCAGACCCAAATGAATTTACCAACATTGGATGTTTTTGCTTTTATCAAGAGCCCACTTCTGATGCTGCCCATCATCCTTGGGCTTCCTGCTGCCTAATAATCTTGGGAAAGTCAAGGCATCCTAAGGACTTCTGAAGCTATGCATTTATCCTTTCTCGTGGCTAAGCCTCCCATCCTTTGTTTATTCTGCATTGAGAGCCCATCCTTCTGAGCTGTCCACCAGAACCCAATCTCCCCTTGCCATTTTAGTCCCTTCTCTTCTTGGGTGCGGGGGTTGATTTCTTCATCCCAGTTTCTACCCCTGGAACATGGCCTTCCCCTAACCTAGCCATAAGCTTCTCTGCTAATACATGTGGAGAACTGAAAGGATAAAAGGGCATCATGCCAGATGTTTGGGGGAATCACAGACAGAGTTTACTCAGTAGAGGGAACTGTATGCAGTTACTGATGACTCACATGGCAGCCCCCTGAACACACTTCATTTGGCCACGCCTTTGCATTGAGAGGCTCAGCCTACAGCAGGTGCCCGGAGGCAACTGGACGTCCACACACCCAGACTGACCAGCCTGTTGGCCCCTAGAAGCAATTTGATCCCTCTGTTCCAAACTGTGCTGGGGTAAGAGGCTCTGCAAAAAAAGTGAGCTGGGCATTTAGAAGCGCACTGCTTACAAATTCAGGCTCTGTGGGCCAGGGGTTAGTGCAGCCAATGGTCAAGGGAACAATCTGGGGTCAACTGGGTGAGGACCCCTCAGCCTCCTCTGAAGTGGTCGGCACCCAGAAGAGATTTCTTTAATCAGAGGAGACTGGCAGGGGGAGAAACAGAATTGCCTTCTGGCCATAGTGAGTCCGAGGACCACGTTTGCAGCTTCCGTTCTTTTTGAGACCAACAAACCAATTCTTTTCGGCGTGCTTCTTGGAGGTGTAGGTGTTGTAATGGTTTTCCTCCAGCCTTTCCAAGAACAAACATTCCTCATTTGGTGTCTGCTAAAAAGATAAGACCGAAAGAGGGTAGAATTATTAGTGATTGGTTTTCAGGGAGGTTTCTGTTTACTAGCCACGTGACCTTGGGCAAGTTTACTGCGGCCCTTTTGTGCTTCAGTTTCTTTTTCAGGAAAATTGAGATCATAGTGGGACCTGTCTCTGAGGGTAATGGTAATGGTAATGACTTAGAACAGGACCCAGCACCTAGTGAGCCTTCAAATTCATTTACTGTTTTTGCAAGCTCCCTTCCATCTGCTGCCCTCAGGACCCTAGAGTTCCCAGCTGGGGAGATCTGGAACGACCAGGACCGCAGCACATCAAGGGCAGGGCTGAGCCTTTTGTCTCTGTAAAGGCCCGGCACATGGACATGACACTGAAAAAAGGCCCAAACCGGTAAAACCAAACTGCGATGTGGTGAGGGTTTTTAAGTTTGGATTGAAAAATAAATGGAAACCTACTAATATTATTTTATATCCTGGTGACTTTCACTAACAATATCAGGATTTTTACCTTAGCATTGTTAGAGATATAAACACTTGTACAAAATGTATCCTAAGCATGAAACATTATCCTGGAACTTAAAGTTTTTAAAAAGTGAACATAGTTTTATTTTTTCCTATGTATAAAAAGACCTACTTATACGAAGAATTGCACTGTATTTTTTTTTAAAGAATTGCACTTTTAAAAAAATCACAACTTTACTTTAAAAAAAGAAAGAAAAATTTAAAAACCACCCCAAAGCCACCCACCCAGATATAGACAACTGTTAACGGTGATGAACATACTTCCTCATATCTTTACTACATAAACACGGAGGGACATAGATAAGGCCATACGGATAGAGGCTGATGATATTAGCAAAATGGCATGCTATCTCTGCTTTAAAAAAAAAAAAAGGGAAATAAACCTATGAAAACTTTCAATCTCACAAGAAAATGCAAATTAAAACCAATTTAACAGGTTGGCTGTAATATCTGAAAAGAACAAAAAAAAATTTGCAATGCTTAGTATTGTGAGAGCATAGAAAATAGGCACTTTTGTGCACTGTTGGTGAGATAAATTGGTAGCAATTTTCTGAGGGTAGTTTGGCAATATGTATTACCTTTGACCCAGCAATTTCATTTGTAGGAATTGAGCCTTAGGGAGATAGTTGAGCAAGTGTAAAACGGTATTTTCGAGGATGGTCTTTGAAGTACTGGGTATAATGGGAACACATTCGAAGCAACCTACATCTTCATGGAAAGGTGATTGGTTAAGTGACTAGGGGCACATCCATACAGTGGAATCCAGTGCAGCTGCCAGTTTATTAAGCTGGAAAGATCACTACGACATTTTCAATAGTGCAGTTACTTTAAAAATATCTACCAACAATTACTGTTTTATTTGGAGTTCATCTGTTAGAAAGTGGGAAGAACCCCAGGCATTTGAACTTCCTATTCATCAGGATTTTAGAATACATTTATTCTATTTGGATATAAAATACGTATGCTGTATATTGATTTTGCTCCAGTTCCAAGTCACGTGATCTCAATGTTATCTCTTCACCCACAGCAGTGGGTGATGCCCTTCCTGGTGGTTTCCAATCTTGTTGTTCATTATTCTTTATTTGTGGGCATGTTTGATTAGTAAGGAACTACGGAACAGGACGTTTCCTGCTTCTTATTCATTTGTAGTCTCGTGCAGTAATATCTGGGTGAGACACTTTGGATCCTTTTAGAATAAGATGGGAGATAACTAATATTTAATTGGGTAACTGCTGCCCCTAAAGGAACTTATCCAGACGTTAGCGGTTGATGCACATTTTTGGGTGTGGGAGGAGGTAGGCAGTTGTGGATGTGTGTGGGTTACCCGCTCCCCTGCAGGGAGGGTCCCCCGTGGCACCCTTCAGTGGGCGTCAGGCCTGCATTCTGTGACGCAGCTGAGGATGGCCACGTCCCTCCCCTGATATCTCCGTTACACTAGGGCAGTTGACACACACACAGCGGCTGAGTCACAGGCTGAGTCAGCAGGGACGTATCTGAGGAGCTCCGTCTGTCCCTCAACCAGGATTTGTCAGGAGTTGTGATGCACTTGGTGCAATGCCAAGGGCCTGGAGATTAACAATTGATTCATGACTATTTTAAAAATTATTCTTTTTTTTTTATATTTAGCACACTTTTTTCCCCCCACTAAATGGGTGACATGTGGGGCGCCTGGGTGGCTCAGTTGGTTAAATGGGTGACATGTGCCTCCTGTAGAAAATTTGGATAAGACAGGCATTCACATATTGTAAAATTAGCCACTTACCACCCCTAGAGATACATATATTAATGTTTTGATATATAGCCTTTCAAACTTATTTTTTAAAATAATATGTCCTTTCTACAGACATAAAAATTTGTAGCAGGGTGGATTAATACCCAGAACTGGTTAAGAGTGTGAGGCAGAGCTCTGAGATATTTTAGAACTTGTCATTATTAGTGGAGAAATATATAAATTATTAGGCATAATGTATTAAGATTACCCTCTGAATATTTCAGGTGAAGTACAGTGATGGGCAGGACTATGGTGGGAGCCCAGAGGAAGTTGGATTTGGGGGTTCTCCCTCAAGATCTTTATACAAGTAGAAGAAGATTATATTAAATATCAAAACTGATTTAAAAGAGGAAAAGCCATAAACTATAAATGTAACCTGTGAAATAATGAGGATAAGGGATTTATAAAATTATTATTTGTCTTATAGCTCTCACTGATGGAGTACCTCCGTGTGTCAGCAATATTGGTGGGTGGGTTCTGTGCATTGTCTCTCTGACCCCTCTTAACCCCTATATGTGGTAGTCACCATCAATTACTATCTTCATTTTAGATAAGGCTCAGAGGAGGTGAGTAATTTGCCATAATTGCAGAGAATTGAGATTCAGTTTTGAGTCTGAGATTCAGTGATTGATTGGTTGATTGATTTTTTTACCAAGTAGAAGAACCACTTTAAAAAAAAAATCTACTTCCTATGTAGCAGTCACTGCCTACCTCCAAACCCTTTAAAATTGTACCATTTGATCCATATTTCAGCAAACAGCCTACGGAGGCTGCTCATTACTCTTGACAGTCTCATCTCCTGACCCTTAGCAGGCGACTTGAAAAACCAAACTGTGTTCACATCCTGAACCCTGGCTGAAGTTACAGCTTTAAGAGGTAGTTTTCTGTGCCCATGCCCCTTGGCAATTTGATGTAAGTTAAAGGGAGCTTTAGACCAAAACCCCCTACTAGCTGCCTTTTTGTAGACATCTTCATAAAAGGGAAGAAAGGAGTTTGGCCAAGCCTCAATGATCAATTGTTAGGATATAGAGAAAGGATCATTGAGATTCAGAAATAATTTCAAAACTTGGGTCCATTGGCTTTAGTTCTCTTTCCATTTAAATCTTCTACCAGAGATACCAAGAGGGGCAAAAATCACACTGTCTGTTTCTGTTCTTTTCTCACAAAGACCAATATATACTGAGTCAAACCTGTGTAAAGAATTACCCAGAGGAGGGATGGTGCAAAAGATGTGGAGGATTTTTAGCTCCCGAGTAAACGCTCAGACAGGGATGTAGCTCATTCATCGCCACATCCCTTCAGTACTTAGACACAGGAGGCACTTGCTGAAGGTTTATTGGGTGATGAGTCACATGCTAGAGTCTAGGCTCTATAATTTTTGTGAAAACCTTGGAGAACACGCTTACAGCATGCAGTGGTGCTGGAGAAACATTTTTGGAATGAATGAATGAAGTGGAAATAGGTATTCTGGAATGATTGACTGAGGAGTTACTAAAATTTCAATCAATATCTCCTCTGTGTCTAGGTGATAATACGTTTGAGTATTTTGAGAGAGCACCACAAGAAAGTCTTTCATGCTTGCGCCTAAAATAAGGCACGGTAGAGGGTGGGAATCCTGCTGGAAAAAATAACAAACAGAGACTAATTGTTGCTTTATATTTGCATCACTCAGTGTAACACGATTTCTGGAAACCTCAAACCTTGGCCGTGTCTGGAAGCGTGTCAGCCTCATACTTACTGAGCCGTACAAAAGCCCATCGGTGTCCATGGCCAAGTACTGGCCAGTCTCGGTACTCTTTATATACACCTCCCCCACGCTTTCCGCACTGAGCTGCAGCTGAACTGAAACAAAAATAACATGAGCAAAAGTAAATAAACACTAAACCTTTGCCGATAGGGCCTGGCGGCCAGGACAGTTAGCCATGGAAAATTCTGCTCATTCATTTCGCAGTGCCCTCAAGGATGAGCCTCAAATTAATCAAAACATAGAAATACAGTTCCTTTTTCTTTGCCCTCCAAAGAAAGCTGCCCTTTGGGAGTGATGTTCTTGAGAGAAGGAGAGATGATGGTGGGCGTGCCCTCCATCCCCCTGTTGGTTACAGAATGACCCCTCACGCACTTCCTGTCTCTGTCCCCTCCTGGCTGGGAAGTAACCACGGTAGGAAGCGACATTCTCTCTCCTAGGTGCTGCAGGGTGGGGAGCTGGCCAGCCTGAGTGTGTTTTGCTTTCATTAGCGACCTGCTTTGGGGGTGCCTTTTTAGGGCCCCAGCCTCTGCCATGGGAGCTTCTCGCGGATAGATGGTTATTTTAAAAAATCCGATAGCGTTATTTTCCCAGACGGAGAGTTTCCCAGGAAGTTGGATTGATTACTGCATCTGAAACTCGGGGAACTCTCCCACCATGAAGTCAGTCAACTGCCAGGCTCTGCGGCAGCGCAGCTGAGACAGAGGCAGAGGGGAACCCCAGCTTCTCACTGGGAAGATAAAGCAGTTGTCTGGAAATGCAGGGATGGGAACAGTGGTTCTCACCCTGGGGTGCTGTTGTTCTCCAGGCGACATCTGACCATGTCTGGAGACATTTTGGGCTGTGTTAGCTGCAGTGAGGATGGTACGTCGGGGCCAGGGATGCTGTGACACATTCTGCAATGCTCAGGGTGGCCCTCACAACAAGGAATTATCCAACCCAGAAGGTCAGTAGTGCTGCGGTT